TATTTTTTTATTTGTCTACTGTTTTTTCGTTTTCTAGACATTGTGAACTCGCAGTCGTTTTAATCATTCGATATCTCGAAAATACTTTTAGAAAAAAGGTCCAGGGAATTATATTTTTTCGTAAAGAAACTGGAATACGTGACCTACGTGCAGCTATTTTAGCACGTACTAGTCTAAGACAGTTTCAAACATAACAGTGTCTTCAGTTTGCGTGCTAACTTTATGAACAGTTCAGCGCATTTCAGAATGAAATATTTTTTTTTATCAACTCAGGCTCATCAGTGACCGTGCAAAAATTTTAGCTCTACATATGTATAGGTACGCAAGAGTATGAGAAATCTTAAAAAAAGTGTTCACAACAAAAGGTGATAGACACATCCGCTTTGTTTTAAAATGTGTATAATAACGTATGTTATTCGAATATCGTAGCGAATCTGTTCAATTACTCACAAATACGAAATGTTTGAAGTATTTTAGAAGAAAAAACGTAACCCGTCGTTTTACGCATAAAAATAACATTTTTCTTCCGGAATGGCTTTTGAACTAACCCTGTATATTGCTCAATAAACTAGTAGTGATGGCCGGAAGAAAGGTGTTTTGGGATAAACATAGATATTCTCAAAAACTACTTGACCAATCTACTCCAATTTTGTTGTGGTTATTTTGTCGCAAGTATCCTACGAATTAGAAAATGTTCAAATATCTGCGAGAAAAAATTATTTATCAGCGCTTACCTAGTTTACCGTTCTGTTTCACCTTCATAACTGGACCTGAAACAAGTACAAAAATATTTTGAAATTGCCTCTCAAACTAAAGCTATCAAAACAAACGGTTTGGAGCTTGAAACATGTGAAATACATCACTCGGATTCTTTGAAGCAGCATGCATTTCTTGCTGATTGTTATTTTTACATTTTGCTCTAAAAAAGTTTAGTCTATACAACTGAAAAAAAACCCACCTAGTTCTGCTAAGTTTTCCATCTCAACTGGACCCTGGACCTGAAACAAATAGACAAAAAATATTTTTGAATCCGTCATTTTTTTCGAAATGTAGAAGTTGAATCAAAATGTTTGAAAAATATAGGAAAAAGTCAAGTATATTGTACCGGTTTTTTAATTTTATCATCTCAATATTTACTGACTGTTCTCTCGAAAACTTTTCCTAAGGTAATGTTGATTTTATCTAATTGATCTGAAGCCATTCTACCTCTCGTGTCACTCTGGCGTGATATTTATGGGACATCCTATATCACACTTTGCCTCCTGATATAAAGAAACTTCACAAACGGAACAAAAAACGCGTGCCTTTACGCGACCTGGTAGCACTGACCGACCGACAACGCGCTACCTCGAGAACTGAAGCCGCGCAGTACCTTGCCGCAGAATCACCCCTCCTTGCCCCTCACATCTCCTACTCTCGCTACCGATTGGCTAGAGTCGTACTGTTTACGTTGTTTTTCATACATGTACGCAGATTTTTTCTACACAACCGAATCTGTATTTTAGAATATCATATACAGGGCGATAATAATGAAATAATAAAAATTACTAAAATATGTATGTTTAAATGGACATAGGATGCGCATACATTCTAGGACTATCAGTAGTGGAAAGATATGAATCTGTCATTGCAAGGACTTTTTGAATTTTTCATAAGACAATACAAATTGTATCACCAACAAAAAAACAGTTTTAAAGTACTTTTTGGGCTCAATATCGATCTGAAAGACTAAAATTTCGAATATCTATTACAGCTTATTAATAATAATAACGGAAAATGATCAAACAACTGTTATAGACTTACGTTGTTCAAATAGGGTTAGTGGCATATAACTTAGGCAAAGAAAAAATAATATTTTTCATTGGTTATCATTGAGAATTACACTTGAATAGTGACTTAATAAAATGCCAAATGTTTTGATTGTGCATGTTTGAATATACCTGGGAAAATTTCCCGTTTTACTAAAAACCAAGCTTATCAGCATAGTTTTGAAACTAAGCAGCAGTTACGAGAATGTGTAATGGAAGCATTTGGTATGATACAGAAATGTTACGTGATGTTTTGAATCCTGAAAATCCTATTGATGTTTAGAAAATAATGGCAACCTATTTCTAATTAGTATTTTCATCATCATTAAATCATTGAGACTATCAACGAGAAATGAATAAAGACAACTTTTTGCATTTGTTTGAAAAGCAACTATTGACGAATTTAAAAAGGCCCTCGGTTATAGTTATGGACAATGCACCATACCATAGTACTATTGAGAATAAGGCACCAACTACAGCATCAAAAAAGGAGGATATTAAAAAATGGTTGAGCATTAATGAAATTGATTTTAGTCCTGACATGTTCAAAGCACAACTACTGCAGATGGTACAGGAATATAAACCGCCTATAAGATATGTTGTTGATGCATTAACCGAACATTATGGACATAAAGTATTACGATTACCGCCCTATCATTGCATTTTTGACCCTATGAAAAATGTTTAGTGCATAACAAAGTACTACTACAACAACCATGTGGGTCGAAATGGCAGAACTGTAGATCGCTGTATCAATTTATGGCGAGAAGCTTTAGAAACTGTTACAGCCGAAATTTGTTCAAAATGTATGTATATCACATACTGAAAATCAAATTCAGACATGATGGGAAAGAGAAAAATATCTAGAGCATGCTGACATTTTACCAATTATTATAAATGTGAATGAGGAAAATGGTGATAGCAATTCATAGTTCTAGTGACTAGAACTTTTTTCAAATAGAATATATCTTGCCACTAGTATTTATACGTAAGTCTTCATTCTGAGAATTTTGTATAATAAATACTTTGATCAAATTTTATTTAAATGTTCATTTTTCTTAGAGCTTAAATTATAAAATTGTAATAAAGTTAAAATATGGTTTGAGTGGGTAGTAAAACTTTCAAGTATCTATTTTGAAATTATTCCTTTCCCTGTAGCCTATTTTTTATATTATTTTCCTAAAGTAAGCTAATTCCTCCTAGTCACTCATACGCCGGTACTGTAATGTTGGTTGCGGTCCGCCAGTGTCACTAGCTCTAGCATTTACAAAACATATTCTATGTAATGTTGGTTGCGCTCTGTAATGTTAGTTGCGGTCCACCTCACTAGTTCCAGCATTTAGAAAATATACTCTCTGTATTGTTGGTTGCGCTCTGCGATGTTGGTTGCGGTCCGCCACTGTCACTAGCTCTAGCATTTGCAAAACATACTCTCTTTTGGTTGCGTTCTGTAATGTTGGTTGCGCTCTGTAATGTTGGTTGCGGTCCGCCTCACTAGCTCTAGCATTTACAAAACATTCTCTCTGTAATGTTGGTTGCGTTCAGCCATGTTGGTTTCGCTCTGTAATGTTGGTTGCGGTCCGCCACTGTTACTAGCTGTAGCGTTTACAAAATATACGCTCTGTAATGTTGGTGAATATACTGTAGTTGTCCGACATTTTGCTAAAAATTCATAATTCAGTATGACCACCAATAGTATGTGTAGATTAAATTCCAGGTTGAATTTTGTATACTGGTACATATGCTTAATTGGAATGCTTCGAAAAATTTCTTGCCGTTCCGCGTTTACTGAAGTCCATATACAGATCATATTTCTAACTAAAAGAGGCTTTTTAAGCATTTCTAGGAAATACAAAGTATTTTCAGTTTTTATGCTGATATGAGATCTATGACACCTTATCCTATAATAACTCATCTCGTTTTGCATAAAGTTTGCGTTAAGCACGGCAGATTTAAATAAACGGCTTGCAAAATTTTGCAAATTTTAAGGTTGTCTATTTTCTTACAAGATTCGATTCCATTGAAGTTGTTCTAATTCGAAATTAATTACACGACGCACGTTGCCAAATCGTTATACTCATAGTACTCAAAGTAATTAATACAATAAATAATTTACTTTGTAGAAGATTAACGATTATTAACGAATACTCGAAAGTAACGAGAATCAACACCACCAGTTAGGAAGGTGAAGCATGCCATGAAGCAAATCAATTTGACCATTGTGAATCAGGCATCAGGCATCAGGCTGTCCGCTGTCCTGTCCTGTCCTGTCAGGATTTTGTACTCTTTTTTACGCATGTACAGTATTGTGATGGGCCAAAGCAAATATAATGAATACTGAGTATTCAGTTGGGTTTCATGACCTTTTAGGGAAATAGGCAGAATTAGTTTTTGCAATTTGGTGACCATATTTGTGACGAATTAGTTAATTTGCTCTGATAATTTTGACACTTTCATGATAATTTGAATATACAGCGATTTTAAGCGATCTACCAATTATATTCGGTCGTGTCTGGTTGTATCTTCTCCATTTTAAAGGACGCGGTTTAAAACAGCTGCCAAATGATGACGTCGAAGTGGTCCTTCGTGACGTGACTGCTAAGGCCAATGACAAGCTTGCGCAGGTGGTGGTTTCTAAGCGGTTCTGAATGTCAAATGTCAACATATGAATATACCAACACAGCCCTTTCCTATTCTTGTGTTTCGTCCGTGACCTATAAGTTTCCGTAAAAAGTTATTAGTGAAAAAAAAAAAACGATATCACATGACAATATGCGTAGGACTAGTGAGATTCTATGCAGTGACGCATTGTTTTTGTGCAGAATTTAAAAAGTAACTAGATGCGTTGTTAATATCACAATAAAGTATTTACTTATTGTTGAATTATATTTATAATCGTCGACGTTGGACCACAAGACAGTTGCATGTAGCAACCCTGTACTCAGCTCACGGTTCCGTGTCAGAAGGGAAAATGAGAGAATAATTGAGGGCATAACCGAGGAATACCCGCAGTTCATCGCTTAAAATGGCCTATAGAAGATCAATATAATCAGATATCAAAGTTAATTTCAATGATTGAAACTCATTTAGAATCAGGCCCCTATTTGAATAAGTTAATCAATGACATAGTACCGAATAGGAATAATCCATACTGAGTATTTGAATACTCCCATCACTAGTCTACATTGTATCCATGCACTGAGGTGTTTCTATCTGCGAGAAGAGAAGCGAAAGGGGGGGTACTTGATGTCTTGATGTCTATGTTCGCTCCCTGTGCTTGCTTGCTTGCGTTTTGTGGGAGTTCAGATAATGTTGTGATTGTGATTCTATTATTCGGAGTTAGGTAATACAACATCCAAAATATCCGTGTGTCCTCTAATTGGTCTAATTATAGTAGCACCCACTATCACGGAAAATGTACGAGTACACAGTGAACCCTCCATATGATGAAAAAATGTTTATTTACTATGTTCTACTATAACATTCCATTCATAAAGTAGTAGATTTGTTGTTGCTCATTGTGCCAAAATTGTGACAGCTACCTTTCAAGATCTTTAACAAGAGTACTGTCGTTATTTACAGGTTAAGTAAGAATGCAGAACATTATCAAGAAACTATCATTGGATTTTAAATGATCACCTTAGAACATGATAGCTTCTAAGATGGAGATGGACACAGCATTGGAACAACCCTTTAGAACCTACTCTTAAACCACTGGGTAATTGTATACAACTCTTGACTACATTATTTCTAAGTAATAGATGCAAGCTTATAGGCTAAACTGCCTATTGACATCACTGCTATAATGTATGTTTGTTTATATATTAGTTATTTACATCAGTATTCATAACTCCCTGAAGTAGGTGGTAGTAACGTTGCTTAGAGTCTCATGTAGTAGTAATAATAACTTAATGATTATTTATGGGTGGATATACAGTATTTAGGATTTCAGTATGGACTAAGAAAAATAGCTTTTCTTTTTGTGACAAGATTATATGATATGTGTATTTGGCAGGGTCAGATTATATTTTGATTTTGACAGTTTTTATAGGTACCTATCAAAAAGATACTTTAAGCGTAAGTGTCATTAGTTTATTCCTTATTAAATATAACAAGACTTCAGTTCCCTTGGTCTTGAAAGAAGTTAACCATATAGATTGAGATTTCACAGTCCCTTAAGGCAAAGGATGTTTTCATTGCTTTCATTGTTTATAATATTTTGGCTGTAATGAAATGACAGAATGAATGACATTTTATCAGAACATAGAGGTTATAAGAAATAAAGCTTTAAAAATGTTGGGCTTCATAAAAAGAAATACATCTGAATTTACTAACATTGGAGCTATAGTAACTCTCTATACTTCACTGGTGCGATCTCATCTAGAAAATTGCAGCAGCGTGTGGTCTCCATATTATGTGACTTATCAGGACATGCTTGACGGGGTTCAGAGAAAATTTCTACGATATATAGCTTACAAAAAACACATTTCTATTGAGAATTTAGACTATAATGCTCTTGAAAAGGAGTTAAGGATTGGATCCCTAAGAGCCAGGAGAGATTCAGCAGATATTGTTTTTGCTTATAAATTAATTCATGGTGTTTACCACTGCCCAGACCTGCTTCTAAAGCTAAATTTTTATGTTTCTCCTAGGCATTTAAGAGAACACAGATCCTTTGAACCTTGTCGGCATAGAACTTTGTATGGCTCGAATAGTAGCATGGATAGGATAATGAGAAATTGTAATGACTGTGATATAGACCTTTTTAATACTTCACTATGCTCTCTCAAAAAGTTCCTTAAAGATAGAAATCTTAGCTAAAGTTTTAAAATGTCTCAATTGCTGGTGATGTTTGCTGTGTTGTTTAGTTGTTCAGTTTTTTTAGTTTTTTTTTTTTTAGTATTTGTTTGTAACTATTTTTATGCACGTTTTAATATTTTAATATTTTAATTTAGTAAATAGTCAAACTTTATGTTCATATGTTAGATTCTTTATTTAAGATGTGTGTGAATTTTATTAGGTTAAGATTGTACTTTTACAACCTGTAACCGAATGGGTTTATCCCGTAAATTTGTAAATAAATAAATAAATAAATAAAAAGAAGAGTCGCAAAAAACAATTGTCATGGTATCTCTCAAAGAAGTGATTCGATGGTAGTGCCAAAATCATACATAAACTGACTTTTGTATTCAAGAATTTGTTTTTTCTTAGTTGCAGTACTATACCAATGGAATTCACAAATATATACTTACCAGGCCAAATACTGGAACCACTGCGAGCACCTGATGTGTTCCTAGTATGGTTTCAGTAACTATTATTTCTTGATTTGCTATGCATTGATCAGGGTTAAATCGCGAATTTGTCACATTGACACTTAAATATGCAATTTGAATTGTAACTGGTGAGGGTGATACAATTTTCAGGAATCACTGAAAACATTTGTTTTTTGTGTTTATACAAATTTTAGTGTCTCTCCTCATAAAATTATGTTATGATGTGTATCCATCAATACAAAGAGTATTTGTAGATTGCTATAACACTTATATACATAGAGATTTGTTAATATTTGTAGTAAAAGTTGAAATTGGACCACACCAGGGGAGTATACATTTTGTTAATTTTCAAGCGTATTGTAACTAAACCTTATTGATTAGCTTAATCATACTTCATACTATTTGTATGGTTTATATAAACAATTCATTGATTTGCTCAAGTTTTTTTTGATAGAACATTGAAATTCCAAATACCTTTTATTCATCCTTATAGCAACAGCAATATCTTTAGCCCAGAAAGTACATCCGTAAACAACATATGTTCTTATACACATAAGTCTTTAAACATAATGTTACCAACATGATGGGCTGATGAAAATTTGTCTCTGATCAGACTCTAAAAGGTTACTACTATGCCAAGGAGAGCAGGCTATGTAGATTCTGAAAATCGGTACTGTGGTGGCGGAGCTGGGGACAAATCAGCAAGCAGCATACAAATTTTCAACACCTGTATCTTGGTATTTTCTGCTGTAGAAATAGTGTTATTCTTTTTGAGTCGCCCTGTATATGGAGTGTTGAGCTTTGCATACTAATCAAGCTGTTGACATTCTGATTGTTCCAGGTAGCCCAGTGCCAAATTATTCAACTTTACTAGGTTACAACATCCTCATCATGGAAATGGGTGTTCGGAAGTTGCCCAAAAAACGTAAATTCAATCTGGATGAACTGGAGGCCAGTAACAACCAGGCCCAATGCATTCCAGTCTCTGTTGTCCAGTGCACCAGCATCATGTCTGCACCCCAAGCCACAGCAGTAGATTACTCTTGCCCCCAAAAGGTGGTGTCGCAAGATGAGGCGCTTTACAAACCGGCCAATAATAAACAAAACGTCGTGGATCTCAGCGAATGGTGTGATCATAGAGTTTTAGCAAAGCAAGGCGAATGGTACTATCCAGGCGTTATACGTGAAGCTAGTGGATCAACTGTAAGTATTTCATGCAATCATTACACAGCTTTACCACCAATTAACAAGCACGTCTTGCATTTACCTTTATCCACTAAAAATGACGTCAAGTAGGTTGATTCTGCACTCCCTACGCAACGCCGTCATCAGTTCATGAAGGATTTAGTTCAGTACAAGTTGAACTTTGAAGTCAGTCAAACAGGCCCATGCAATTAGTCCAAACACATTTGCCTGCCTTATCGGTTGTTATCATTCATCTGGCAACGTTGTTCCTTCCCATATCGTACAAAAACATTTCTCTATCATTCTATGTTTCAAGACGAATGTACGGGAAACCTATGATTTGTGAAATATGGGTGATAGGTACCTAGAATTACCGGGATGGGGAGTGTATACATATACAGGGTGTTCCTTAATGATATGCGAATATTTAAGGGTGTGATATAATAAAAAATACTTCAGGGATATTTCAACGAGTGCGCAATTCCATGAGAAGGAGGGCGGAAGCATGCAACAATTTTTGTAATCATTTCGTTGGTTTTAATGTTATGTTTATGTTGTCAGTTGTTGTTGTTCATTACCCCTAATGTGTTTAATTTTTCCAATTAAATTAATAATAATTTTGCAAGTTAGACAATAGAACTGTTTTTATTTTTTTTTTACTCAAAAATGGTGCATCAAAGGAAAACAATTCAAGAGAGTTCATTTGTTTTAAATTGAACAGGAATAATTTTTATTTGGCAAAAAACCATTGGCGTACCATTTTTTTCTTGGAAAATACCCGTACGCACGCCACTGTTAAAGCAAAAAATTATTTTTGCATTGAAAAATGTGCAACTTTATTAACTTTCACTACGTACTAAATATCAGTGAAATACCTGAAACGGTTCTGAAAATATTAATTTCCATTTTTTTCCGAAAACCTCAACACCCCGATTTTTTGTAAGGAAACATTCAGTTTATAAAGCAAACTAACATTGATTTTTCATGTAGATTCACTTCCTTAAATATTCGCATATCATTAAGGAACACCCTATATATGGACTAATAAGTGTATGAGCCTGTTTGACTGACTTGATCCGTTCAATTTCTCTGCTGTACATATTCGTAACCAACTTTGAGGATTTAAATTGCGCTGAACTCAGTCCTTTATGAATTGACGCCGGACGGTGTTGCGTAGGGAGTGCAGAGTCAACCTACTTGACGCCATTTCTTTTTCCATGGCGGATCAATATAACGAAGAAAAATTTGCTGATCTGCCGATAAATGTTCTTTATATATATATATATATCAGTTGTCCGAAAACGTGCTGGACATGCTGCGGCATTAAATGCGGTCAGGTTTCTCGCTTGAATAATTGTAATTTTTAGGATGATTTCCACGTTTAAGTGGCACAGTGAAGTGGATAAATATGAATTCAGATATGTGTATTCTCGAAAAATGTTTACTTTTTGTTTCATAATGCATTTGCGTGTGAGCGTGTATACGTTTTACTCACTACCGAAATCGTACTATTGCGATATGGATTCGCTTGGTTGATTTTCACTTTTATTAATTGATAGCAGGAAAATTAGTTATAGAGAGTAATGGACAGTGTGTGAGTTTATGATCGGAAAAGTTCAACAGAAGTTAATGAAAATGACGTCAAGTGTATTGACTCGGTATTGTCGCTTTTGATTTGTACCTTCAGAAAGGCCACCGAGGTGTCCGAAACGTTAGCCATTCATTTAACTTACTTTGCTGTCATGATTTGTGAGTGAGAAATATAATTGTTATGGTTGACCACAGTAGTAGGAGGAGATAAATGGATTGACTAAATACTTCTCTATAAAAAATAACATTCTGGCTTTCATCGCTGTAAATTATGCTGTATTTATTTAAACAACATTATTTAGCCTGTTTTTTGTTTTGTATGGGTCATATTTATTCATTAGAATTTCTGTTGTCATATTGATTTAATAATTGACAAATGACGGCTTACATACTTGAATTATCCACCCATGTAAAAAATAACAACTAAAAATCAGAAAATAGAATGATTAATGAAAATGAGTAAAAACGTAATCATGATGTAGATAATGTACTAGAAGCTAAAAAACTTATTACATTTAACATCGATAAAACGAATTTCGTATACTTCAATAACGTCACTACCAAATCACTTTATGTGATCCCAATCTAAATTTAAAATTAATGTAGATAACAAAGAGTAGAAAACAGATAAAGACAGTGTCAGATATTGATGAATATTTCAAAGCTGTGATGAAAGAGATCGACTCCAATATAGTTGTCATAATTTTTAGGAATCCTCACTGTAAAACGCTGAGAGACATGTTTTGTTGTATTGACATCCGTGTAAAAGTATTGTCTAGACCACGTCTGTCTCGTTGGTATACGAAATCGAACCGTAGACAAAAAATCGGCACACTGAATAATACCGTTGACTAATTTGAATAAGAAATAAGCCACTGCGTCAATTCTACGAGTTTCTAGCTGCAATCTGGTGGTATAGTCCAAATCTTTATATGGAAACCTAAGTGTGTACAATGCAAATTGCTTCTGGAGACATAACAATCGTAATATGAACTCCAGAGGATAGTGCGATATTCTAAAACACTGCGGACCAAACAATAACATATTCAGTGACTTAATGGTTCTAATATCACAGAAATTTGGACAGATTAAACCTAACATTCTAGAGCATTTCAATGAAATACTATCAATCAAGCTAATATCACAGCTAAAATGTTCAACTACTCCTAAGGGAACATGGTTAATTGAATAAATAAACATATAGGTACATTTACGCACAACCTTGCATTTAGTTAAGCTTATGTCCAAACAATTATCATTACATCGTGCAGCTAAATTATCTATTTCGTTTTGAACTGCATTGCAATCCTCAATACAGTCTAAAGCATAAAACAACTTCAATTCATCAGCATGCAAAAGGCGTTCACATTCTATAAAAACAGTGGCCACCTTGTTAATAAAAAGAAAAAAATCAAATTGGAGCTAAACGAGACACTTGGGGTACACCCGAAGGTACAGTTATTTCACGAGACGCTAAATTACCAATCTTCACACACTGCCTACGGTCTCGAAAATCAGATTCGATCAATTTCAGACATAAACCTGTTACCCATTCCACGAATTTTGAAAACCAGTACTTCATTATTAAATATATGAAAGGCTTTCGCGAGGTCGGTGTAGGTCACCACATCCACTTGAGGATTCGACGTTTTTAACAAAATGTTCTTAAAACAACATCCAGGCTTGTTGTTGGTAGATCTGCCTTTGAAAAAATCGTCTTGATGCTTGAAGTTTTCAAATGTTTGATCGGTGATCGATTCAATTACTTTTAGGTGGTAAAATATTTTAGTCTGATCATTGCCCTAGATGAATGAGGAAACTGCTGCGATGACTGGTATCTGGTACCTACCGAATTATTTTTCAGCTTTTAATATATTATCTACAGCATTATGCCAACACCTGAGTTTTACCCATAACATCATCTTTGTAAGCTATTTTCAACATTAAAACAGTTTCAGCAGCATGTTTACCATTCAGAAAGCAACATTTCACAGCTGCACGTTGCTCACTGAAGCTTGCCGTCGTAAAAAAACGAAACAAGCACGAAACAGCTCTAGCAAAAATAATGAATACAGAGGAACGAAACAACTCAGGTGGCACTGAACTGGTAATGAGTTGCGCTGTACGCCTCTAGGGTCAGAAATGTGTACTACACAAGCTCCGCCCACTGCAATGCTATTCCAGTAATTTTTGGGTACCTCCTCGTATATGGCAAACACATTATTTTGACATTTTCAACCTCTACTATCTCTGTCACTTTGATGCGGCGGTCGTCTAGCACCATTTGGTGAACTTTGGCGATGTTTTCATCGGTAGTTAAAGTTTTCGGACATCCCGAACGTTCATCGTCTTACGGCCACGTTTAAATTGGTGCAGAATCCAACTCATCTTTGATTTGCGTAGACGTGTTGCCTTTCATTTAATGACATTTTCACATCAACTCGCTGAAAATTGGCAAGTTGTATTATCAGTTGTTGTCTCTTGCTGTTGCAGATCACGGTAGCTCTAGATGGTAGAGAAGAAAAACTAGTAACGTACGAAAACGTATTCGACAATGAATGTTACAATGTGATAGGTGATGCAAGTCCATCGATAAACCAAATAAGCTTAGGCACTAGAGTATGCGTTAGGCACAACCAATGCATGTTTGTGGAGGGAGTAGTCTGTAGCATCCTCGAACAACCAGTTAGATTCGTTGTGGCAGTCATAGGAGAAAAATCGTTCGAAGTGACAGTGAAAAGAGCAGAATTGAGGCTTCTCAGGCCACCTTGGTGGGATGAACTCGAGAATCTTGAGGCGGTTATAGATAATATCATCCCGCCAATTGCCACGATAGATCACTATAGGACTAGCCAGACCTCGCCTACTCAGCTACACACGCCTGTGTCAGTTTGTACGCCTTTGAGTAATGGAAGGCAGTATGATGAGTTTTGTGAGAGCGAGGATGAGCTTAGGCAAGACAACATCACGTTTAATGCAGAGATGGATGCAAAGTTGTCTGGAAGTAGTAAGAGGAGTAGCATGCACAGCAGAGGAAGTTCGTCTAGTAGTATTACTTTGAGGTCCCAGCCAACTACACCGAGGAGTCAAGCGGCGACACCCCACAAGTACAAAAAGGTAATGGCGAACATTATATATACTAAATGACACAGAAAATGCAACACCGACTAGGAGTGCTGTAATTTTTAACATACTTTTACAAGTTCTAAGGCGACTGATAAATAGAAAGTGATTAAAATTTTAACTCGAAATTTCGCAACAATAGCTGAGATATCCGCCTTAATGTTAATAATGTGTTGAAGCTCGATATATATATATAATTGGGAAATTGGCAAACTTTTTAGGCTTTAGTTAACTCTTTTGACGGTAATCTCTAGCTATGGAGCCTTCATCAGGAGTCGTCGTTGGGGTTGCAGCCAAATGGTGTTTCAAAACGAACGCGGGGATGAGAGCACTTGTTACAATTATAAAACCAAACGGACGGACACATTGGGCTTATTGATAACGACCAATACAATCGTTACGTGTTAACACTCCAAATCAATACACCCGAAACATATTAAATTAAAATTAAATTTTTTTTTAACGAGAAGCAATTTTTTGGACAAAACCGGAACGTCATTTCTATGAGAAGGTTCTTGTTTCTCATACTTCCTATACCGAGTTCTATGCCAAAATCTGAAATCCTTCTCAAGCAATAAGGAAAAATAGAAAATAAAATTGTAACTTTGGGACCCTGTATCTCGCAAACTATCTATTTTTGGACTAAGGTATGTTTAGGTCATTTCACATATTCTGGTCTGTAGTATCTCCAGTTTCGAGATTTCCCTAACCCTGTATATACATATACAAATATATTAAAAATAAAGTACAACTGCGGTACGACAGTGTTACTACGTCAGCGAAAATCCAAGGCTCGCATTTTGTCAGCCATGCATCTATAAATTCACCTGTCATAATTTGACAATGTCGCACTGCTCGCAGAGATATAGGGAAACCTTGTTTTTTGCTGGGCGTACCATTATTTGGTCGTAGAAAACAAACTAAAGCTTATTTCTACAATGCATCATAATTGAAGAAAATGGCGTAATATTTGGCGACGCCGCAAGTTAGAACCGCGCTCCGCGCCCTCCTCTACTGTCTTCTCTCTCCTTTTCTAATATACGTGTTGTATGGCGTTTCCGTTTCTCTCTGTCTCGCACACAGTGCGATAAATTTCGCTGTAGATTTCCCTCTTCGCTTGCCATTAAGGCGACCTGTATTTTCTTTTAGGGGGATGTGGTTTCGAATCCGAACGGGATCAGAAAGAAATTCAACGGTAAGCAGTGGCGGCGGTTGTGCTCGAAAGATGGCTGCACAAAGGAGAGTCAACGCAGAGGGTATTGTTCGCGACATCTCAGTTTGAAAGGTAATAGTCTTCGTACTGGCCATTTTCCTAGATCTAATAGTAAAGGGGACGGTGAAGATACTTCCAGGGATTCGGAAACGTCACCCAACTGCGGCGAAAGGAGGATAGCTGGAAGATTCGACCAAGAGGAGACTGAGGCTGCCAATATGTTGGGTAAGTTTTTCATCCCAATACTATGAGATACTGTGGATGTTTTTTTACTCTATCAAATTATGTATCTTCGAACAAATATTTCAACGGGCACAGCCCCAAACCTCAACGGGCCCGAGATATAGGCTGTCCAAGTCAGTATAATCGGTTTTACTCGAAGATCTGCTTCAAGAGGAACACTGGTTTCGGTCAATTTTGCTGATTTTTTCATATTTTATGGCATCCTGAATAAATGTCTTAATGGGCAAATGCCTCAAAACTTAACTGGTCCCAAGTTATATGCCGTCCAAGTCACTATGATTGAGTATGAATCCTACTGAGTCAACTGCTCTACTTGGAAGACTGCTTTTGGTTAAGATTACTGAATTTGTGAAATTCTATGTATCTTGTTATTCTGAACGCATGTTTTAAAGGGAACACACCCAAAAACTCAACGGTTTTTATACATTTACATTTTACTTGACCCACATTTTTGTTCCAGTATCATTAGGTAGTTCAAGATCAGCGACACCGGCATTCTCGCCCAACGGTGGCCAAGGATCTTCACCTCACACAATGCAATCTCCAATTACTGTGGGGTCAAGACAAAACGTATTCATGCCGATCCCCAGCAGTCATTCCCATGGAATGCAGAAGATGACATCGCCTGGCCCTCCGGGATACAACCCGCCATATCACCAACCAGTTGTCAGGTAAAATAATGTTATGTAACGACATGGCTTTTCGACATTTTCAAAAAATATGGCATCGTCGGCAACAACAGTAACTTCTTCATAATTCTGTATCTACCCTTATTTTTTGTTATCATTTCAATGTTGTTTCATTCCTGTCAGGCCTGAAGCCAGACCAGTCCAGGGTATCACAAGCGTCATCAGGGTATCACCAAGACCTTGGCCAAACAATGTAACAGAACAACAAAGCGTCATTTTACAACATGCATTGACAAACAGCACTAGTCAACAAGCTGAACCTGAAAACAGCACGTTGCCCCAACAAGGTTTGCATTTTAAACATATACATATTTAAAGTAGGGTTGCAGCAGAGAAATTATTAAAATCGGATAAACATATGTCGCGGTTTTTCTTGTATTCCTGCTTTTGCCGGATAGTAACCGAATATCCCTTGCAACCCTAATTTAAATAATTGCTTACTACTATCCTGCGATTTTTTCTATTAATTTCATTCGACCTCCGATTCGTTTTGGTGAAAATCTACTTGATTGTAATTTTTCGCAGGAACTCTTTACTGTGTGGTACCACCAGCATACGAAAAGAATGTTATGATTATAAAAAACCAGCTCGACAGTGAACAGAAAGAACTGAAACCGTTTCAAAGACAGGTAAGTCAAATAAAAGCTGGACTTTTAGAGCTACCATAAATGGTTGGTGGATTCTGATGAAAAATATAGTAACATATTTTGGTGTAAAAGATTAGAGGGTTGATTTCTCTGTTATACAGGGTGTTTCAGTTTATTGTTGCATAACTTTAAGATTCGATAGAACTTTTAAAATTAATGCTCAAAGTCTATATAAACACGGGTCGAAAAATGCGTGGCTTCCGAAATACAGGGTGTTTAAATTTACTTTTTAAAATAGTTTGTTTTTAAATATTTCGAACAATATTTGATGTATAACAGTGAAAATTGGTATACAAGGTTTTTTTGGTACGACAAAACGAACCATTTTCGTTATAGTTAGCCGTTTTTGAGATATTTCGATTTTTAAGGTTCGATGCATTTTTAATTATTTATGATAAAATAACGTTAAAAAGTCAGTATCTCGATAATTTTTAGAAGTAGCCTGTGCCTGCAAATATTTTTGAAATTGAAAGCAGAATAAGGTTAAACGTCAATTAGTTGACAGTTAGTTTTGTTGTCTGTTGAAACCTGAAACGTTTTTTTGCAAGTGTCGATGCACGACATTTAGTTTCTTTTACCTGTTTTTTTTTTGTAAGTTTTATAAAAATGCCATTTTTATTCTCCAATCAAGAGTTAGCGGATATTCATTTTGTGTATGGCTTTGTAAATGGAAACGCAGCAGAAGCAGCCAGAGAACACGCACGAAGATTTCCAAACAGACGACATCCAACTCGCTCAGTATTTGTAAGAGTGCATCGTTTTATGGACTGATGAGTCATGCTTCACTAGACGTGGAGTGGTAAATTTTCATAATCAACATATTTGGTCGCATGAAAATCCGCATGCAGTTCGGGAAAGAAATTTTCAGCATGAATTTAGTGTGAACGTGTGGATTGGTATCTACCGTAATCGACTATTTGGACGCTACCTTTTGCCTGCAAGGTTAAATGCTGCGACCTTCTTGGAATTTTTAAAGGCTGAACATGCAAATATGTGGGATGATGTCATGTTAGATTTAAGAAGATTGGCCTGGTTCCAGCTCATTATTCGAGAATAGTTAGAAACTGGCTGGACGAAAATTATCCAGAAAGATGGATCGGCCGTGGAGGACCCGTCGCCTGGCCTCCACGATCCCCTGACCTAAATCCATTAGATTTCTTTGTGTGGGGATTTCTAAAAGAAAAAGGGTACCAGACTTCCGTAACCACAAGAGATGTGCTAATAGACAGAATCAGGAATGCATGTGATGAAATAAGGCCTTATTTGAATAATGCTATACCACGTTCGATCATTCGTAGATGTGAATTGTGTATTGAACAATTGGGTTTACATTTCGAGCAACTACTTTAGATTTTGTATGTTTGTCCTGACTATCCAATAGCATTTTAGTTGTAAATAATTAATTTAATTTGTTAAAAATAATATTGGAAAATTAAACAAATTAATATTGTTTTTTTGGAGTTAGGAATTATTGCTGTGTTTAAAAACACAATCTAAACGATCATCTTAATTACGTGAAATGCCCAAATCGAAAATGTAAAAACAATATTATTTTCCCATAAATAATTAAAAATGCATCGAACCTTAAAAGTCGAAATATCTCAAAAACGGCTAACTTTAACGAAAACTCACAGGAGAGCTATTTTATGCAGAAAAGTGCGAAGAATCAGTTTTTTTATTCAAAAAGCAAAAAATTGCACTAAGAAAAATTTTTCGGTCATTTTAATACACTACAGGTACAGTAAACAGCGCCCTCTAGCGGCTACAGTAAAACTATGCCCATGGCTCGTTTTGTCGTACCAAAAAACCCTTGTATACCAATGTTCACTGTTATACATCAAATATTGTTCGAAATATTTAAAAAAAATTATTTTAGAGAGTAAATTTAAACACCCTGTATTTCGGAAGCCACGCATTTTTCGACCCATGTTTATATAGACTTTATGCATTAATTTTAAAAGTTCTATCGAATCTTAGAGTTATGCAACAATAAACTGAAACACCCTGATATGTGCTGAACATAACCCTTTATGAACTGACGTCGGCGTTGCGTGGGAAGTGCAGAGTGAACCTTCTTGACGCCATGTTTTTGCAGGTGATTCAAAGTGACCATTTACAAACTGCCCAACTGATACGTGTGACGCCGAACAATAACAACAACAATTCTCACTTCACTGGAAGTGGAATGATGCATTCTGGCTCCACGAACAGCGGGCTGCCGGTTATCGTGAACCCCACTCAAATAGTGCCGGTGTTGCCCTCTGCGACGCAGTGTGTAGTCAGGAGAGTCATTCCCACTGCCACGATTCAACAAAATCCACCGCCTGTAATCATTAAAAGTGAGCAAGGTAAGCAGTTTCTTTATTTTTTACTTCCCATGTCTAATTTATGACTCCGAATATCTTGGTCCTCCTCCCAGCACATGGAGTCGATGGGATTTATTTTTACCTTAGGAGGTACTAGTGATTGACAACCTCAAGGTCTCTCGTCAGAGAAAAAGTCGCTGCAACTCGTCTGACCGACAGAAGACGTCTTGGCACTGTGAATTTATGCACGTAGAGTGCTGTCTTCAGCAAAGCTGTGGTTGGTGTTATAGAAACAAGTTCGGATCCAAGACCGATCCTTGGGCAACACCCGCGTTGACGTTGTGGGATGAAGAGGAGAACCCGTCAAACCGTGAAGCTCTCGATTTATGCACTTCTTCATCACCTTTTAACAGAAAATCGAGCTATAGGTTTGTAGTTTCAAGGATCGACCTTTAAATATTTTCTTGGGACGGGCTGGACATGAGCGAATTTCCAGTTTTCTGGGAAACTGCCGGATTCTTAAGGTATCTGGACGAAACATGAAGAAACTGGAGCAAAGTCCGCTCACATTTCTTCAGTGCTCCAGGAGGAATAGACTTTGGTTAAAATTTCTCATTTTTGAGTTGAAACTTTCCCATACAAGACTGTGAAGATTATTTTGGATTTAGTTTATTCTAAAGCCAGGGTTGTTATGTTTTAATCAAAATGTTTAAAACAGTGAAGGTGTTTTGAGCCAATTTGTTTTAAACTGTTTGAAACATGTTTTAAACACCTTTTTTTGTCGTTTGTGAGTTATTCAAGTTTTTTTAGATTCTTTGTTAAGTATGATTAAAATTGATTTGATTTTCTAACAAACTTCCTTGTTTAAACTGTTCACAATTTTTAATATGCTTGCGCATTCTAGCCACCAGTGGCACTATATCCATATTGCTGGTTAAACATTTTGTTCTTTTATTTATTTTCTAGCCAGCTTTGGCATCAGTCTCCTTAAAATATTCCCACAGAGGATCATTTCTCCTCCCTGTCATTGCATGTCTTTTTTTGCCGATCCTTAATGCACAAAAAACAAAACACCACCACGCTACGACGTCGCACATTTGACTGTTGGAGATCGCAACGCGAAAAATTATCCAAAGGCAAACGGTACTTCCCCGACGCCCGCTTTCAAATTAGAGATGTGCTCTGATAGAGCTGGATCGAAAGTAGTAATAACGCAAGGAACTTCATTAACGTTGCTAGATTATATAGGCAATAGTCTTTTAATTTTTTTACTGTTTTAAACATGTAAAAGGTTGTCCAATAGGGACGCAGGAAAGTAAACGTCAATTTGACATAGACGCCATCTTTGTTTTCTGTCACCGACATGTCATCTTGTTAGTTGAGTGTTTACCATTGATCGATATGGAGTCGTATTCGATTGAAAACCGCTTTAAAGTTATTCAAGAGCACTACAAAAATGGTGCAAAAATAAAAAACACGTTTCGCGCGCTTCGTGAACATTTCGGTCGCAACAACCGCCCAAACGAAACAACCATCGGTCGTCTGGTGCGTAAATTCGAGGCAATAGGTTCTGTGGCAAATCGGCCAGGCTCTGGCCGGTCAAGGAGCGTTCGCACACCGGAAAATATTGCTGTTGTGAAGGAGAGTGTGAGAGACGATCCGAAACAATCAACAACGCGTCGATCCCAAGAATTGGGCATTTCGAGAACCAGTTTGCTCCGCATTCTCCACAAGGATTTGAATGTACACGCCTACAAGATCCAATTGACGCAAGAGCTGCGTCGGGCCGACCATTTTTCGCGCCGAACGTTCTCAGATTGGCTCCTTGAACACCGCCAAATTGATGCCAATTTTTCATCAAAAATCATGTTCAGCGACGAAGCGCATTTCACTTTGAATGGGACGGTAAACAAGCAAAACTGCCGCATCTGGGCGAATGAAAATCCCCGTGAGTATCGAGAGCAGCCGATGCATCCTCAAAAAGTGACTGTGTGGTGTGCATTGTGGTCAAAAGGCATCATCGGACCTTACTTTTTCGATAATGCGGCCGGGGACGCCGTTACCGTCAATTCTGAGCGATATCACGTGATGATAAAGGACTATTTTTTGCCGCAACTTGAAGGAATGGATATGGACGATGTTTATTTCCAACAAGACGGTGCAACGTGCCACACAACCAACGTCAATATCCATCGATTGCAGTCCTTCTTCGGTGATCGCGTGATTTCGCGCAGAGGAAATGTGCCATGGCCACCAAGATCATGCGATTTGACTCCCTTGGACTTCTTTTTATGGGGATATTTGAAAAGCAAAGTCTACGTCAACAAACCAGCCACCCTCCCAGAACTCAAAAACAACATCATTGCCGAGATAAATGCCATAGAACCGACCATGTTGCAAAATGTCATTGAAAATTTCGACCATCGCGTGGACGTCTGTAAATCCAGTCGTGGTGAACATTTGAGCGATGTTATTTTCCATACATAAATGGTATAAATGAACCTTCAAAATAAAGTACCCAACTTGATTTGAATATCAATCTTTCTTGTTTTAATATGCGTTTACTTTCCTGCGTTCGTTTTGGACAAGCCCATATTATCAATGTTTAAAACATGTTTTTTCTGATAAATTTGAATGTTTTAGACAAAAAAAAACATGTTTGAAGCATTGTTAAGGGCAACGCTCGCATCACTTGAAATTGTTATGGCTAATTTTTATTTTTGATCCACAGGTGAGCCAATGTCAGTGCCAACTGAAGAAGATGATGACGTATTCGAGTCGGACTCGATTGAAACCTCCAGCATGGATAACAACAAAAGGAGAAGTCAGTCTCTGAGCTCATTACATGGCAATGATAAGGACTCTAAGGTAAGCTATATATTATAATAAAATATATTATCAAACGACATATCACATGCATTTGTCTGACTGACTTGATCCGCTCAATTTCTCTGTTATGCAGAGGGTCTAATTTGTGCTGAACATAATCCTTTATGGACGGATGTCGGCGTTACCTGGGAAGTGCAGAGTGAACCTTCTTGACCCCACTTTTTTTTGCAGGTGATTCAAAGTGACCATTTACAATCTGCCCAACTGATAAGGGTGACGCCGAACAATAACAACAACAATTCTCACTTCACTGGAAGTGGAATGATGCATTCTGGCTCCACGAACAGCGGGCTGCCGGTTATCGTGAACCCCACTCAAATAGTGCCGGTGCTGCCATCTGCGACGCAGTCTGTAGTCAAGAGAGTCATTCCCACTGCCACGATTCAACAAAATCCACCACCTGTTATCATTAAAAGTGAACAAGGTAAGCAATTATTTTTGTTTTAATTACCACGCCTACTAGGCCTACTACATGGCGTCGTTGAATGGTGTGGTTCGGCACCGTTGCCAGATTGTATGGCCAGACTTGGTCATTTTGAGGTTGACAAATTAGAGTTGAAAGCTTCCCATACAAGACTCTGAAGATTATTTTGGAATTAGTTTATTCTAAAGCATTGTTGCTTAATTATAAATAACGCGTTAAGGGCCACGTTCGCTTCACTTGAAATTGTCGGTGCTAATTTTTATTTTTGATCGACAGGTGAGCCAATGTCAGTGCCAACTGAAGAAGACGATGACGTGTTCGAGTCAGACTCAGCTGAAACATCCAGCATAGATAATATCAACAACAAAAGGAGGAGTCAGTCTCTAAGCTCGTTACATAGCAATAATAAGGAATCTAAAGTAAGCTATATTATAATAAAATATATTATCATAGACATATTACCACCTGTACCGAATAGAAATCTGAAACCATTTCTGGTAAATGATTTCATAAAGCGAGCAAATTTTGGACAGTTTTCGAATCTCCATCATGCATTTTTTGAACATTATTATTACAGGGTGCGGCTGCATAAGTTCCTTTTTGTAAAATTTCAATTTAGAAATTTCCGTTCATTGTCTGATCGGGAGGGACAAATTCAAGTCCCCCCTTTCCTCTGCTTTTAACCAGTCCTCGCAGCAAGCAGCCCTCCTTTGCTTTCTGCTCTGAAGTCGAGAGCTTCAGAACGATTTTCGCGCACAATTTTTTCATTTCAAGTTTTTGTCTCTGAATTTCGTGGACGATTGTTTTTTTGAGATTCACAATTGCAGAAGAGAGGGAACTACCGGGCCACCCCTCCACAACGCCTTGACACGACACCCCTAATTTTTTATACGTATATTTCTATATTATTATAAAATGGCATATGTTTTCAGTGGCTGTTATAGTCACTCCTGAAAATCTCTTTTCCTCTCCTTCAATGCTGAAATTATTCTTTCCAAACTTACATATGTTGTTTACAAACTAATGTGATATTTGACAAGCTGCCCGAGTCACCCGGAAGATAGTTGATAAGCAATATTTTATTGCAGCAAAATAAGGAGCGGATAAGACGACCAATGAACGCGTTCATGATATTTTCGAAAAGACACAGGGGTCTTGTGCATCAGAGGCATCCTAATCAGGATAACAGAACCGTCTCGAAGATTTTGGGTGAATGGTGGTATGCCTTGGGTCCAGCTGAAAAGAAAAAATACCACGAGCTGGCATCAGAAGTGAAAGAAGCTCATTTCAAGGCTCATCCTGAATGGAAGTGGTAAGGTTCTGAAAACTATGTTGGGCTATGAAACGTGCATAGTTATAGGAGAAAGCTGACATTTCGGCAGTATTGACAGTGCAACAAATCCATTGTACAAAAAAGGGACCAAACTCCGCCGTTAATAATTTAATTTCTTGTTTCTAAAACGGGAGGCTATATTTGACTATTTCTCCTTTGTTTCTAGGTGCAACAAGGACCGCAGGAAATCCTCAACAGGTTCAGGCAGAAGCAAACTGAGCTCAACGGGTGATAGTGGCGAAGCCATCGACATGCCAATGAGTCCTAGGATACATTCTCCTCCTCACACCTCCACTGAACCACCAAGGCAGGCTTTGCAGGGTCAAGACTCTTTAGCGGACGTATCTGATGACGACGGTATGTGACAGGATGGATTGCAATTATTAACAACGCTATATTTTTTTACTAAAGTTTATTCATTTATTTACACCACCAACAGATCAACCAATTATTGTAAAACTTAATAATTCAAAAATAAAGCACATTCTTCAAGCAAAACAATCCCCATAAACTCAATCTGAACATGTTGATTTTCCTGTCCCATTGTCTAACTTAGATAGCTTAAAAATTTGTCTTGTTTGGCCTCAATGCATTCTTTGAGAAACTCACAATGTGGGCTCCAGATTTGACTTAACATTAAAAAAGAATTGGCAATACCCTGCGCACCCTTAGTGGTCGATTTCGTTACAGGTGGGATGGTGATATGTGAAGATCTGAATCCTGACATGGATCTCAAGTGCAAGGAAAAAGTGACCGACTCGGATTCTGAATCTCAAAGTGATATGGAGCCGTCAGAAAACAGGGTGTTCCAGAGATTTAGTCCTGTGACGACGAGCAGTTGCGCGGAGGTGACGTGTAGGCCGAAACCTATCAAAGCTAGGATTCCATCGACGGAAACGCCCAAGTTCAGTCCAGCTCCCACTTCAAATACTTTCAATTTTCATTATTCACCTGTGAATCCTACGGGCATATCGGGGTTCCAACCGACTGGAGGGGCGTTCAAGACGATGCCTGCGTCACCGAAAGTTGTCAAGAATGATGTCGCTAATGAGAACCATGACAACTGGTCAGGTATGTACTTTCTATTTTTCCATTCGCAAAAATCAATTTTTGTTAAATTCTTGCAAATTCAGCTACAAAAAACAATTTCTGTTATCGTTTTTAAAGATAACAACATACAAGCGCCCGGATATGGGTCCCTATCCTCATTTTTTTTCTACTGTTACACTGAATAACACCTACAATTTTGATCCCATAGTTCATATTCTTATGAGTGCTTCAAATTTCCACACGAATCCATTATTTATTTCTATTATAATCTGGGAAGTGCAGAGTCTATCTATTTGACGGCATGTTTTTTTTTGTCAAGGTGCATCAATCATCAACAAAACAAACGAAGTATCTCAGTGGGTGAACAACACATCGAGCATCCAATCTAGCACCGTTACGACCAGGACGAATCCTACCCTAGCGATCTTAAAACCGCAACTTAAACAAGGGCTAAACGAAAACCTCGGCCAAACGTACCCTTCCCAGCCGTTGACGGTGGTCATAGGTGGACAGTCAACCATCTGCTTGTCAAACGAAAATGAACGACCGCAACCTTTCGTTGTAGTGGCCTCGACGGCCTCGGATCTGCCGGTCCACCTGTACATGCAGTCCTCCTTCAGCATTCCTGTGTCGGACTCCACTGGCAGGAGTTTGTCCCTGCAGGGACTGCAGTTGCTGCCTAAGCCTAAACACACTCAGAGCGTGATTGTCTCGCAGGCGCAGGGTAAGGTTGTCACGTCGCAAGCTGAGTACCCGCCTGTGCAGACGACTGTGGTTACGTCGACCAAGACATACAACAGTGCTTCTGGTAAGTCTGGCTGAGTTTTTTTACCAGAGCTTCTTTTCAAAATTATAAATCATTCCTCAAAAGTCCAAGTGGAGCTTTTTTATGGGGGGTCAAAGGACACAAAAAAACACTATTTTCCATATATCTGCGAAAATATCAACTCTACGATAAAATGAAATATAACCTTTTTTGTTCAGTACGAAATTCTCCACAAAAAAGATTCTATGCATTTTTTTCGTAGACTGCCAATTTACAGAAAATTGCGCGAAAGTGTTGTAAAGGTCACAAAAAACACTATTTTCCATATATCTTCGAAAATATCAACTCTACGATAAAATGAAATATTACCTTTTTTGTTCAGTATGAAATTCTCCACAAAAAAGGTTCTATGCCTTTTTTTCGTAGAGACTGCCAATTTACAGAAAATTGCGCGAAAGTGTTGTAAAGGTCACAAAAACACTATTTTCCATATATCTTCGAAAATATCAACTCTACGATAAAATGAATTTTTACCTTTTTTGTTCAGTATGAAATTCTCCACAAAAAAGGTTCTATGCATTTTTTTCGTAGAGACTGCCAATTTACAGAAAATTGCGCGAAAGTGTTGTAAAGGTCACAAAAAACACTATTTTCCATATATCTTCGAAAATATCAACTCTACGATAAAATGAATTTTTACCTTTTTTGTTCAGTATGAAATTCTCCACAAAAAAGGTTCTATGCATTTTTTTCGTAGAGACTGCCAATTTACAGAAAATTGCGCGAAAGTGTTGTAAAGGTCACAAAAAACACTATTTTCCATATATCTTCGAAAATATCAACTCTACGATAAAATGAAATATTACCTTTTTTGTTCAGTATGAAATTCTCCACAAAAAAGGTTCTATGCATTTTTTTCGTAGAGACTGCCAATTTACAGAAAATTGCGCGAAAGTGTTGTAAAGGTCACAAAAAACACTATTTTCCGTATATCTTCGAAAATATCAACTCTACGATAAAATGAAATATTACCTTTTTTGCTCAGTATGAAATTCTCCACAAAAAAGGTTCTATGCATTTGTTTCGTAAAGACTGCCAATTTACAGAAAATCGCGCGAGTGTTTTAAAGGTCACAAAAAACACTATTTTCCATATATCTTCGAAAATATCAACTCTACGATAAAATGAAATATTACCTTTTTGTTCAGTATGAAATTCTCCACAAAAAAGGTTCTATGCATTTGTTTCGTAGAGACTGCCAATTTACAGAAAATTGCGCGAAAGTGTTGTAAAGGTCACAAAAAACTTGTGTGTAATTGCTCATTTTATCGTAGAATTGATATTTTCGAAAATATATGGAAAGAAGTGTTTTTGTGACCTTTGACCACCCCATAAAAAAGAGCTCCACTTGGATTCATGGGGACTTTTGAGGGATGATTTATAATGCTCTAGTAAAGAATTCAGCCAGGTGGGATTTTTTCAGCACAGAAAGTCTGATAGTCCTGGACTAAAGGCGTTGAAGAAATGGATCTAATGAATATGGTCCATTTCTTGCAAAATATATGTCAAACTAACCAATTTTGTTTTTTATATATTTTTTTCTGTGTTAACTGAAATTTAACTTGTATATATTAAAGGAATTCACTTTGCTTCATCACATTCGATACCCCTACTTCATAGAGCATATACAGGGTGTTCATTTGATAACTTCCCACAATGGATTTATGGAAAACCACTGATTAAAAACACGCCGAGACGCGTCAAAAGATTTGTCAAGGGGGACAACTTTTTAACCAAAAACTACCCCCCTTTCACCCTCTGTCCCCCAGCGTCATTTCCTTGAACATTATAAATCACAAGGGGTATCCAGTGATAGCTTGTTTATTTCAATAACTATTCAAAATGTTGCCCTTTATTGGCCAAGCAATAATATAGGCGATGTTCAAAATCCTGACGGACATTTATAAAAACATGTCGGATCTCATGGTAGCTTTCGAATGGCCCCATAGAAAAAAGTCTAATGGCGTCAAATCAGGAGATCTAGCAGGTCATTCTATAGGCTCTCTTTGCCTTATCCATTTATCTGGAAACTCGTCGTCTAGCCATTGCCGATCAAGAAGAACATATGTTAGCGAGGAGGAGCGCCGACTTGCTGGAAATACATTTCAGCCTCATCAAGTATAGGGGTTCAATCCTCTTGAATTTTGTTTTAAATGGTTTCAGTGATAAGAGGATTGATGGTATTTTCCAACGTATCCAAATAAATGTCTCCATTCAAATTTATAAATTAATGAACAATGGCCCAATCACTTTGTTTCGTAAAATGCCTGCCCTTACGTTAATTTACACACCCTGTATACTCAGTGACATTAGAAGAAATAATTTCTTCATCTTTGGAAACATAATGACTATATAAATGAATCCCTAAACAAAGGTAAATTTAAACAGAAAATGCTTTTGCAACATATATCAATATTTCATTTCAATTTATCGAATTGATTCAGTTCCAGGGACACCTTCAGCTGTTTTCAGTAATGACAAAGATGGAAATAGCGAAAAAGAGTTGAAATCTCCAGCGATTTCCGATATTAGACCGCCATCTAGAGATTCGTTGGGCTTGGAGCCGCAGAATCACGAATTCAAACTTGCCCCAACGCCAGCACAACTGGGAAAGGCACCTTTGCAGAGAAGGCAATCTATGGGTAAGCAAAAAACAAGAAAGCATTGATGACACTATAACTGAAAAAACTATTGTTGACGATATGAACCATGAAAATATTGTATCTACAGTAGCTTTAGGTACCGTTCTCAACGAGGATAAAGCCACTGTCTATATACATACAAATTGAAAAGCGGATAGATACATCCTGGTTGAAAAGAAAATTGTATAAAGTTTTGGATCGCTACATTTGAGGCTATGGGAGATTTTGTTCGAAAAGCTTGTAAACCAGTCACTTTTGCAGATAGAGTTGCAAAGTTTTTCATCTCTCATTGTTTCTCATCACTTCCCTTTTCCGGTTCCACACCTCGTCTACACGCAAAATGTACTTTCTCTGAGAAACCAGCAGGACTTGCGAGATACTCACTGAAATGTTGTGAAAAATCAATATTTTTGTTTCCAGCCATTTTCAGTACAAACAATCCACAAGTGTCTCAAGAAAATAATAGTGCATTGCCACCTCCTACTTCAGCGTCTGAGGAAATCAACCAAAGTGATTTAGTGTCGCCTTCGACCAAAAAGAGCTTCTTCAAGCGGAATATTGAAGATGGAATGGACAGGTAAATATAACTTTTTAAATATCAGGATAAAGTTTTCGGGCTAACATCCATCTGTTATGGTGCACAAAGCTCCTGAATAAAAATATAAAAAAACTCTTAAAATGGATAAAATTCAATAGAAGTGCTGAGGATTTTCTTGAATCATGACCAATTTATTGTAGTTGTAAATTAAGATACTTAAAACTCGTTTTATGGCGGATACAAAAAACGAAACATTGAATTTAATTAATTCATTGTTTGATAAACAATGTTGCCAAAGTCACTGTTGCATCACTGAATATTGCCAGACAAATGGCCTATACTTTACACTTCTTCCATGCAGGCGGAGCCGCGGGTTTAGTCTAGCAGTGAAAGATATTTATCACTTGCATACAATTTTCAGGGTATTGGAGCAGGTGAACTTTGAGAAAAAGTTTACAGCTTTACCTCAGTTCAAACCAGAGGAGGGTCAATCGCCGAGTGCTATATCTGTGCCTAGTCCTGGTTTATTTAATTACAACAAGAAACGACCCCTGACTGCCACTCATAGAAGTTCAGTAGATGAGGAAACCGAGCCTGAACCTCCCCAAAGTGCCGGGGCTCCAAAGTCAGCATCTTCAGCCAAGCCTATTGTAGGCAACCAGTTCTTTGGACCTGATTTTGAAAATGTTAGGGGTAAGTCCATCAAGATTTTTTATTGGAAACAGAAAAAAATACGTGATATTTTGGAACATTGCGGAAACGGAGCACAACAGTGTCTTATATTATTTTGTCACAAGACAAAACATTGTGTGTGTCACCACAACAGTTCTGGGTGGGTTTTCGCGTTTTTTTACGTTTTCGGGACGATGGACGAGGGTGACGCGTCTGGTGCATTAAAAAACGACATCATGCTCGCTTGTCGCTTTGGAGGATCCGGCGTCCTCTTGGGACCGCGCGGTCCTGGGCTTTGCTGCTACCTGAAACAAGAATTACCCAGGAGAGCCCCGTGGCCGTGTCGTAGGAATTCGCATCACATAAAACCTGTATTGAATTTCAGCCGAACTGAGTACTGAAATGGAAGAGGGTACCTCACCCCGCACACCTCGAACCCCAGGCACATCACGGGAGTCAGAGAAAGGCCACCGGAAAACGTTGGAACAACGCCGTCAATTAGTAATGCAATTGTTCCAAGAACAATCTCTGTTTCCGTCGTCGCAAGCCACGTCGACCTTCCAAGCGCAGCACGCAGACATATTCCCGAACAAGGCGAGTCTCCAGCTGAAGATCAGAGAGGTCAGACAGAAGATGATGGCCCAGACCTCGCTGACGCCATCTAGCGTCAGTTCTCCGTTAACACCTGCGCCGGCTGAGCCAGTTAAGGTATCGTCGAGTAGTTAGCTGTTAGTGTGCAATAGCGGGTCTTCCTTTTCATGTGTTATTGTCAATATGACTGAGGACAAAGGTTAGTTACTTAGTAGACAGATTTATTTATCCGATCACACGAAGTGTGCTGTAGATATCGAGTGGTAGATAATACAGGTGGCGTAGATATTCGAATAGCTGAACGAAGTGATGAGCCAAGAAATAGATTTTTTATAAGGAAATCTTACAATTTTCGCGACAATTTTTTTCTGTGGTATCGGTAGATTAGCGTCATGATAGGGCATATTTTCATAAACGCGTTTGATCGAAAATCCCGAAATCCATAGATCCTACGTATTAAAATATTAGAAACAATTTTGTAGGGAATTAAATTCTCGTCATTTTGTTTCTATAAAAAATTGTCGTATAGTCAACCGATTACGAAAAATTAAAGGGTAAAGGTACATGTAACGGCTAAACCACGAATCCAAGAGTACAAAACTATTATTCATCTACGATTACGAATTTTAAAGTGAATCAATTTTACACTCCCAGGTGCAAGTAAAGAAAATTAGTGTGATCAAGTCGCTCATTCCATCGGTCTGTCTATTGGCCATTTTGTCAATTACTGAGTAATTTCAGTAACCGCTGCACCAATTTCAATGGAAGAGATGCAGCAGATAATCGTGGCTTATGACATTGCCCCCTTTCCATTAAAATCGTTGCAACAGTTGCTGAGGCCGCGGAGTTACAAAATGGCCAGTAAACAGACGATGGAAATGAGTGAGTTTATATACTCCAACTACTACGAAAGCCTAAAGCCTAAACTTTCATGGGGTACCAGAGGAAAAGGGGGGACGCCACACTGACTCCGGCGAGGGAATACGTGTGCGTGCATCATGCACACATTCTGGCCCCTCCTACGAGATCCGCCGGGTGGTACCTCCGCGTTCAACAGTCAGAGACCGTCTACCACCTGCGGACAATCACAACATCCATGGCCAAGTGAAACACTTTTCTTGGGACGGGATTCGAACCCACGCAGCACACGGCAACTGGTTAGGAGACAGGAGAGTCTACCACTGCGGCCACCGCTGCTGCCTTTTCATGATGAATATGAACATCAGAAAATATACAGGGTGACTTTGAAGTTGAGTCATTAATTTTCAGATAATGATTGTAGAAGGAAGATAAACCAAAATATGTGTGTAAAAATAATAAAAAAATAAAAAAAAATGTTTACCTTGTTTTATAAAGTATCCTCCCAACAAGTATTTCAGTGCGGACCTGTATTTGATCGTGAGGTGCCCTGTGAGGTCTTAAGTCACCTGATTCACGAGCCCGTTGTACTACATTAACAAATGCACGAGGGGTTGGTTGCACTCGATTGGGAAACCGATCCGCATAAACATGTGCCATTTTTTATTTCGTTTGAGCCACGCAACAGACACTATTCACACGCGACTGACACTGACTGTATGTATAACTGAACTGAATGAAATAAAAACATCGTTCCAAATTCTTTCGCTTTTTTGTTTCCCATGCGATGAACCGATAAGGTGGATTATATCCGTTGTTGCCAAACACGAGTACATGATATTATTATTGAGACAGGGCGGTACTCAAACTTCCAAAGGGCTATAACTTTGTTACTTTAATTTTACCAGAAAAATGGTAAAGGAAAAAAACATTTCTTTTGATCAGATCTACTCACTGTTAAAATAAATGACTCAACTTCGAAGTCACCCTGTATAAATTTGAAGAACCATCATGGTGTCGAAAAAATGTTGGGAACTTATTTTGTAGAAAATTTAATTCTCTACAAAAAGGGTAGTAGTCTTTACACGCTTCGGTAAGTTTACCCATTATAAGCGAAAATGTTACACGTACTTTTACTCTTACATGTCTCGTAACCAGTTGACTGTACGACAAATGTTCATAGAAGTAAAATGATGACGAATTTCATTCCCTATAAAATTGTTTTCGACATTTACTGTCGCCCAAATTTTATGGAAATTACCGATTTCCTGGCTCATAGACCAAATACAAAACATGGGGCAAAAATTCAAAGAAAGATTCTTTCTGATAATGTTCAAAATTGTTTCAGAAATATACAGGCACCTGAAGAACGCTAATGCAAATCTGCAATAACAACATTGTAACACGATAAGGTCTATGCTCTATGGAAAACAATTGGCTCATTTTGTTCTTCAGGGACGGACCAGCCCTAATACAATTTTATTTTTCATGCCCTGTATAAGGTATTAAAAGTAATATTTTTGGGAGGCTTATCTAAAAAAATGAAATCTGGCAGAATTAAATGAACGGTTCTTTTTTTAATGGTCTGTACAGTAATTTTGATTACAGATTCGGAATAAGCTACCAGGAAAATTGTACGTTGATAGGGGCAGTATTGAAACAAGGCTGTTTTCCTCAAAAGCAGTTGATTTAATCGAAATCAGTCAAAGATCCATTTTTTTCAGATAAAAAATGAGGGTTGCTGCATTAGTGCCCTGGAGAACTAAATGAGCTAATTATTTTCCATGGACACCATCATGTGAGGCCTGAACTAATTGTTCAAGAATTATTTGAGAAAAACCGAAAAAGTACTACATCAAAAATCGTCAAAAGACAAAATGGTAGGATGATCCAAAGAATCATCCCTTGAATTGTTGGCCTATGTTTTCCTGTATACATTTATGCTTTCCTCAGTGTGAATTTGGCCATCTTTAAATTTATCTTCCATCTTTAGGTTTGTGGAACCTAGTGGGTAAATTGGGACTCAAAAGAAAAGTATACAGTCAATTTGATTTTTGATGCATAATAAACTCGCTACAGTGCGAGCAACATATGTCTACAAACACCTGGAAGGAAACTGTGGGTGTGGGATCAAATAACGCAGATTCTTTCTCCAAAATGATGGAGAAAATTGGAATATGTATTTGTATTTCTCTTCCAGGTGAGATATTCCGTAAACCAAAATATGTTGTTGACTTTGTTGCTAGCTAGCCATCTGAAGTTATGTTTTAAAAAAACTCTGTATTTTTTGGTTACAAAGAAATGCACTTGTTATTTTTTTGCCATGCTAAAATACTTGGAGTGCAATAATTTACTCAAAAACTGAAAATGATGAGTGATACTATGCCACTTGTTCTACTTATATTCTATTTCTCTGATATTTGGTTGACTTTTTAACTAATATAGAGAAATCGTTAGTAGTGCAATTAGACATTTTTCGGACCAGTCTTGGATTCAGCAATATAGAATAACTCGTCTTATTTTCAGTGTAACAAATCAATCATGTTGACATAATTAATTTCTTTTAAATTGGGACATTCTATTTTATAACGTCCTAAATTTATACAAGCCAAGTTTTATCTTAACTCTTTTTTAGATAAATATCTGGAATTTTCTTGTTATTATGTGTAATTTTTAAATTTGTAATTTTTTCAAATATTTTATGTATACATTTTTATATTAATTGAATTGTTGTATATATTGACTTTTATTTATTTTAAATTTGATCAAAGTTTTAGATCAAGTTTCTTGTTGGAAGCGTACCAGGATTGGTCTATATATAAAGTAAATTTACAAAAAATAAATATTTACCATTCAGATTGATTGATCATTTTTTTTACATTAGATTAAGCCATAATTTTTTATATTATTTTTATAGTTTACATATTATGTGCTTTGATGACTTGTTATATGCCTCGTAGCTTATTTAACGATAATAATAATAATACCTGTGATTGGGTGCAAACCTGTTGGAATAAAGATTATTATTATTATATTATTAACAATTAATTTAGCTGGTAAATTTTATTTTTTGTACAATTGTATCTAAGCGTATGTATGAAATATAAGCTGAATTAACATGTGTAAAATATCAAACTTTCTTTGCCACAATATTGTAAATTTGGTATTTTTATAAAACGACTTGGTGTAAATTTGATGTTGTTATCGACGAAAAATTCTAAATTGTCCATATAATTTCGATATTTTTATACCAGTACGTTGTTTGGCGGAAATTTCGGAGTACAATCAGATAGAAGTGACCCAAAACGGGGCCCTATGTTTTTCGTTGGCCAATACACTTCGTCCATTTTTAATGAAATTTTAATAACAGCTGTTTTAAAATTTTCCCTCTGTATATGATGGTCGCCTTGTATTTGACCCTTGACTTTCAAGGTTCTAAGGAGGTCAGCTTCATAGTTTTGGTAGGACGGCATGTTTCATGTTCAGATATATCTTTCAATAATTTCATACTTTGACCTTCGAATCTCATGTATAATCATTCAAAATGCAACGCCATAAGCTAAAAACAACTGGACGAAGCTAGAATTATCGGTAGTTGAATCATTTTGAATATCAAGGTCAAATCCAGACGATTATTGCTTTAAATTTTTTTTTTATATCGAAACAGCCGCGCAGGCAGAAGCCTAAATGCCGGAACACCGCGGCTGCTATGATGATCCCAAAGAAATTTTGTTAATACGATTTTTGAACTGCCTAAGGTTAGTAGAACTGGGAAAAGCTTCCTCCCGTAGATTGTTCCACAATCTAGACACCCTCGGGACAAAGGAGCGGTCGTATCGGCCAGTTCTGGATGTACGAAGTTTGACACGGTTAGGATGGGACGCCGAAGTCAGGCGGGTCTGTCTGGCAGGCACATCGCGCGGCGGCATCATAGAAGAGAGCTCTGAGGAGCAAAGCCCGTTGGTGTAGCGATAGAAAAGAGCTAGATCGCCGACAGCCCGCCGGTGCGAAAGAGTCCCGAGGCTGTCTGTTAGAGAAGAGTCATCAATATCCAGGGAAATTCTGATAACTTGTTCTGCTTGCTTGTTTTCAAATGATTCTACTTCAAAGGTCAAACTTTTAGGCGGTATATCTGAACGTTGAATTTTACTTGCCACGCCAACTGCCGAAAAAGTATTGTAATCGCCAAAAATTTCGAAAATAAGATATTATGTTTTTTGGATGTTACCTTTCTCCGCTAATCATTGACCCTTCTATAATTTGATACCGCTCAGATTTTGGAGAAATTTCGACTCAAGGTTACTTCTGTGCCAAAGACGCGGTCGATGGAACTACAGGAAAAAAAATAAAAATCGTCGAACTCCATTTTTCGACGTTTGAGAAAATCCTGATCATTTCGGAAAATGGGGTAAAAATTGGGGATAGGGGTTGCAGGGGTGGGGGTAAGGCATGTCTCAATTTTATGGGTGGGGACTAATGCTATACATGTTTGTAGTTTTTCCTGAAAAGGGCTAACTCGCGCCGAACTTTTGTGATGGGAAGTGCCGAGTCAACCTACTTGACGTCATGTTTGGCTCTATTTAGGTCAAAATATAGCATATTTGCCGGCCGTTAATTGGTATATAAGGTGGTTTTATTATAAAAGAACAATCTACTAGGAGGACATTCCTTTATTTTGGTATTGTAGAAAATTATGTTTAGTGAAAAATTCATGGCATTTCTCTCTGTAATTGTCAAAGATGGACGAAGTGTATGTGTTATATTTTTGTCAAATATTTCGATCTGATTTCACTTTATATCCACATATGTTTTATTAAAGGTGCTTTCTTTTTACATATTGCAATATCGTATATATTTGGTGCTGATGATGAATTCTTTAAAATTATTCTTACATTTTATATGTATACTTAAAATTACAGCAGAATCATTATTTTCCCCCTTTGTGCAATATTATTTGGGAACCTATATAGAAAAAATAATATACTGCACTAGATGCACATTTTAGAAATAGATGCGAGGTTACACATGCCTAAAGCAACTTGTCCATATCAACATTTCATGCAGTTTTAGCCATGTTACGAAGAACCAGTAACACTGCGTATTTAACATAGTCCCGAAAATTACGCTGATTTTTTGGGCAAATTTCTCTGACCTTGGGAGCTGCTCGGGATTATTAGGTTTACCGGAAACATATGTCCATTTCTTATTTGTCTTGGATAAACTCCATTGAGTAAGATTCATAATGATTTGTGATCTCTAGGTATTGGTAGATAGCTATCTATATTTTTACGAGAATCCTCATTGACACTATCACGTCTCTCTAACCTCTTAACACGAATCGTAGTCATTTGCAAGAGCAATATGTACAGCCTGCGAAATCAAACGTTCATTCCATTTCATTTTTTTTATTTATGCTGATACAAAAATTGTTTACAGTCATAACACAGAAGAAGAAAAATCTCATCATACAGCGTGAAAGCCACTTACATGGTACATCACACTTGAAACTGTTTAACTATCACAAAACGTTAAAATCAGTATTTACAAAATCAATTTTGGAACAAAACATTTCTAATACGAATTTAATAATATTATATTTAGTGGCAATGTTGGCCCAACAAACAAGGTAAAGAATCCCTTTAAAATAAACAAATCTTAAAATACTCTTCAGCGGCTTGTGCAGCAAGGCTTTAAGTTTAATTTGGGTATTTGACGACCTCAAAAATTATAATTTTTGTAGTTTTCTGGAACCTTCTGAACAAAAAACGCTCAGTAACATTTGTCTAAGGTTGACCATTTGCGAGTTAAAAACGATTTAATCGCCAAGTATCTAAATAAAAGTTTAAGCCGTAGTTCATTTTAATGCGATTTTTAATGTTGTGCAAAAAATGACGAACTTTTGATTTTTGCAGACTGTACACATTCAGTCTTCGGTACGAGTGTTTACTGATTTTCACATTGACGAATAGCTGCAGAGGCAGAACCGAAATACTAAAGTACCGCTATTGCTATAGACAGCTTGTTGATCCAGGTTCGAAACTGGCTAACGCCGAAAAAATTGACCGGGTATGATTGCGCACGTGCTTTTAGGTAATGTGTACTCGTTAGTGTATAAATCAGATCTGTCATTGTAGGTGAAAGAAAGACGCTTAACAGTCTGTGTTAACACGAAAACGCGATTTGCTGTTGATCGTACGTTGTACCTACTGTCATATATTTGATGTCTCACATCAGATAGTACACACATGATTTACTTGGTGTCATCAGAAAAAGAGTAGGCTGGCCACTATGCACGAACCAGTTAACAGAACGGTACAGGTTGTCATCTAAATGCAGCTTTAATTAAAAAAAAAAAAGAAATAATTAGAGGCTTTGTTTATGCGACCATTCGCAATGTTCACAATCAACATACAGTAACGGACAAAAGTATATATGTATGTAGACAAATTAATATTGCGCTGTATTTCTTGTTTAACTTGTTTTATTAATACATCAACCTGTATACATAATTCGTTTAGCATAATACTCACTTATACATAAATAAATTCATTAGACTCCCTTCAATAACAAATTAATTGAAAAAAACTGGAACTATGAAGGACAAAAATATATAGACTAATTAAAACAATTATAGAAAAAAGAAGCAAAGTTCATTGAATTATAGAAAACCAACCATGTTTGTGTTAACATTTTTTAGCATAACCATTATTATCAATCACCGCCTAGCATCGTCTCGGCATAGATTGTAGAAGTTTCTTGATATAAGATTCATCAATCTGTCTCCACTTTTGCTCTAAACCGGAAAAAAGTTCATCCTTGTTTGAATAATTATTATCTCGTATTTGCTTATCTAAGTATTCCTATAGATTTTCAATGGGGTTTATATCGGGCGATTGTGAAGGCCATTTGAGAACTGGTATTTTTTCATCCAGAAAGAATTTATTTGCGATACTTCGGGTCATTATCTTGCTGGAAGACTGATCTTAAGGGCATATTGTCTTCCATGACATGCTTTAGTGTATGTCTGTGTATACAAACTTATCCATAATGCCATCTTTTCTATGTAAAGGTCCCATCCCAAACCCAGGAAAGCACCCCCAAACCATAACAGACCCGCCTCCATGTTTGACAGTGTACGCCTAACGTAATGATCCAAACAAATCGAACTTGAATTCGTCACTGAAACATACCCTCTTCCAGTCACAGATGCTCCAATCAAGATGCAACCGTGCAAATTGTAATCGGTCCTTACGGTTTTTGTCTATATACTTTTGTCCATTACTGTATATCTAATGCAACTTTTTTGGATGGCGAGCGAATTTTTATGGCATTGTGCGTGTGATGAACCATCCATTAGTTCGCGCACAGATGCTTAATCCTGTATTTTTTCTGATCACATTAGGAATGTGGAAAAATGCCTGAAAATTATATCAAGTAGCAGATGGAATATAGTTATTATCGAGTCACTAAGCGCAGGTTAAATTGCAGCTTAGCGTGAAGATATATTAAAATGTATGCTGTCCATACTCTCAATAACCGTGTTTTGTGT